CCCCCCCCCTCGCTCACACGCGCGACCTCCGCGCTTAGCTCCTGCGCCAAAGGTGTTGGGACCTCCGAGACAAAATCTTTCCCATTTATTCAACAAAAGCACTAATTATAGTATTTTTCTGTAATTACAAATGAAACTGTATTTATTATTTTACAGATATACACATACATTTAACGAAGGGCGCAGTAGAGCAATGGACTACCCCACATTTTTTGTGAAATTGAGTTCTTAACCTTATATACAACTTCAAACACTATTCTTTTAAAGTAATATGATATTTAAATGCAGTACGGAAGTATAAGCAAATGTACTGAGTTAAAACGTTTGGTGGGTTATTTTATGCAAATTTTAGTAAAACCCTCTATATGTCAGAAATAGGTCAATGCATGATAGCTCTTTGCTCTACTGAGCCCTTCAAATATATTATGAGGTTTTTGGGGGTGCGAGAACCCCATGGATGGTGTGGCCCTTGGCGAAATTCTTATTTTTCTTCTAAGCCAATCCAACCCTGAACGTGCCACTGATTCATTTTCAATTTCAATGCAAGAACAAGAGTTTAATAATCACGTAATGTTAGTAAGAAAAACCTTGAAAGCCCCTTTCTCATCTCCAACTCACATATCGATCGAGAATCAGTGCCACACCTACCCACAGTGATCCACTCCTACAGTGTTCTCCCCCATTCGTCACATACAGTTTTGACTGTTTTTGACTAAATAAATTTAAATCTTCCCGAATTCAACGACCAGCATCTCAAAATTTAGTTCCCTTCGTTCAGTACGTCCCAATCTTTATTCTTAGTCGAAACGTACCATCCTTCACATATCACATTCAGAAATCAAGAACTTTTCAGGTATTAAAAAATTATGAAATTACAAAAATAGTGACTGGTTATACTGAAACACTTCAGAATTAGTTCACTAAAATCCATTATTGTATGTTTCAATATCCCCGAAACACCGCCATCAACAGGAAGAAAATGAGAAAGCAATGAAATAATCGGAGGTGTCAGTGTGAAGCATCATAAAAGTCCAGAACTTCTTTAAAATATTGGACGGCAAGAGTGTACTTGCAGTGCAAAGTGGTATGCTCTCCTAATTTATTGATAACCTCAAACATTTATCAAGATACTGGGGCATTGTTTCCTAAACATTGTTCTCAGATGTTTCAGCGTTTCATAAAGGAGTCTCTGTGTTCATCAAATAAGGCATTATACTTCAATTCCTTTTGATTTTTTTTCCTTTATGTGATATTTTCAAGCAGTAAAACATCGATATGAAATAACTTGATCTATGTGAACGGAAAAGCTCATAAAAGTCTTCAACTATAAGTCCAAAAATAGAATGAATTCCACACCTTAAATTAAAATACCAATTAACATCCATTACTCACAAAACAACCTCACGAAAATAAATGACAGTAAACAAGAAAACCATGAATCACATTTGAATGTTCACACTCCAATCGTATTTCTTAAATTGAGCTGACTTTAAGAGTGAGATTTGCTTGGTAATTAATTTTATTGAAAATTAAATTTCGTTCTTTAATTCACTACACCCACCACACTTGATCCACAATATTGGGTACCACTGAGCTAGTGAGCTGAGCGTAGGCTAAGCTACTGCTGTTAGAAATAATTCTCTTTAACTTTCCACACGGCGTCATGGATCTCGCCAGACTGGCGGACGCAGGTTATGGAGGAAAGGAAACTCAAAATGAATAGAATGGTACACTCACATATGAATAACTACAAAATTTAATCGGCAGGAATACACAGCCTACAAGTGTTGCTCAAATTGAAAGGCAGCTTTCCCCTGCGTCTGTGTCTTCTCAACATGACGCAAGATACGAGTATCTCGTAAAATCAAGTGACATATGTGACAGTGACCGAGTTTTGCAACTTTACATTGAAAAGAACGTTGTTGTTTGAGATACTTTTAAGAAAGGTCCTTACGTTTGCTTCTAAGAATCAATATCTTGCGTATTTAATGTGTGAACACTTCACCTAAAAAACAAACTGTATATCAGCGAAAAACAATATGACAAATCTTGAGTGAACTTCACCCATCAAAAACAATGAATAGAAAAATTATGAAATTGAATTCATTTCTCATGTAATATTACAGAGTATCACAGACTCACAAATTAGAAGCACGAGATAACGTGTTGTTTATGTTTGATTGACGATAGCAATCATTATCAAATCGTTCATAATAAGGAAGCATGGCCTCTAGTATCATTATGGAGCTGGCGCAAGTGACACAATTGGAATGATATACTCACTGACGTCCTAGTCTTATGATGTGATAGAATACTATCGATTCTTCAATGCAGGGTTCAAAACAAATAGCACATACAAATTCGGAGTTGTTGACAAGGAATGTTTCATAGAGATACATTCACTTGCGTCTGCGTAAGAAGTCACAGCGTTGTTTGTAATTGGCCAATGAAGTCTACGTACACGCCAAGTTCGGGTGACAGTTTGGAAGTTTCACAACGTCTCAACGTCACCTATCAGTAGAAACAGCAAATGCAACTCTTGCAAGGAAGGCATAATTGTTCTTGTGCGAAATTCAGAATACACATACGTCAGGTTTTTATGCCTGAAATTAGAGTCATACTAGCTTCTCCGCGCAGACAAAGTAGAGGAGGTTTTACATTTCTGTCTTCCTGGAAGGTTGATACAGCGGTTGCCCTGTGTATTCAACTGATAGCAAGATGTTGTAAAAGGAGGGTTTAATAGTGATTGACCAATGATTGTGGATAGGATGATATTCAAATAGAATTAGAAGTGATATGGGAAGGGCAAACACGCTACTAGCATATGCTGAAAATACTTATGTCTGACGCTGGAATCAATCCCGCTCCCTATAATTCCACGTTCTAATATGCAGCTCCACTTTCAAATTCCCAACGAGATCGACGGTTGTTATTTAAAACTTGTCTAATCTGTTAGATGGGTGTTATAACGTACATGAACGTTTACAATAATGATCAGAATAGAATGGAAGAACCATAGACCTACAAATTATCCACCACACGTGTATGCGCAAGTGTTTACCACATTGTACTCAAAGGCAGATATGAAAACTAACACATATGGTAGCGCAAACTTAAAGAAACGTTTATGATTTCGCAAGAAACATTTTTACGATCTTGCTCCATCATTCCAGTATTCTCCACAACCGCAATGTTTGTCAGCAGTGGCAATGTAATGTGACCCGGAAAGAATATATCATATTACAATGCTGTTTTGTATTTCCTTGCTTATGTAATAAGTTGTAAGATTCAAAACTTTTTAACTTCTAAATACCATTTTGCGTTTTCAAACGTCTTCATCTGATGTTCATCTCTCTGAGAGAACAATGCCTTCGTCAGCATTGGGCAAGGTCATCCTGTTCGTTATCAGCCCTGAAGTTGGTTAACATTATCGTAGAGAGGAAGGTGTAATTTTAATATACTGCCGTCTTCACT